CTGCTCCCTGCCACCGCAGCCTCGACCAGCTGGGCTCTGGTGATCCTTCCTCCTCAGCCTTCCAAGTAGCTGGAACTACAGGCATGCACTACCACACCCGGCTAATTTTTTGATTTATTGTAGAGATGAGGCTTACCTGCCCAGGCGGGTCTCGAACCCGCGGGCTCAGGCAATCCACTCACCTCAGCCTTCCAAAGGTGCGGGATTATAGGCTGAGCCACCAAGCCCGGCTATTTGGACTTTTTCTTGGTCAAAAAGAATGGATCCATCAATCTTATTTATCCTTTCAAAGAATCAGCTTTTTGTTTTGTTCATTTTTTTTCTATGATATTTTTGTCTATGTCCTGTATTTTGTCTTTTACTTTGGTGATCTGGATTCTCTGCTGAAGTTAGGGTTTTGGTGGTCTTGTTTTTCCATCTCCCTTAGGTTGGATCCAGTTTGCTAGAATCTTGTTGAGAATTTTAGTATCTATGTTCATCAGGGATATTGTTAGGTTTCCAGATCTCTTTGTTGATTTTTTTGCCTCAATCTACCTAGGGTTGTCAGTGGGATATTTAAGTCCCCAGCTACAATTGTGTTTGAGTCAATATCTTTTTTTAGTTTACTTAGTAGCTATTTTATACAAGTTGGTGCTCCTGTGTTGAGTGCATATATGTTTAGGATGGATATTTCTCTTGATGGATTGAACCTTTTATCATTACATAGTGTCCTTTCATATCTTTTAATTTTTGATAGCTGAAAGGTTGTTTTGTCTGATTATTAAGATCATGACTCCTGCCTTCTTTTGTGTTCCATTTGCCTGAAAATCTGCTTTCTATCCTCTAACTTTGAATCTGTGAGAGTCCTTTTATTGAGATGTGTTTCCTAGAGGCAGCAAATTATTTGGTCTTTTTTTTTTTTTTTTTTTAATTCAGTTTGCCATTCTATGTCTTTTCAGTGATGCATTTAGTCCAGTCACATTCAGGCTGATTATTGAAATGTGAGAGTTTATCCCTGTCATGAGGCTCTTATAAAGTTCTTTGTTGTTGCTGTTGTTGCTGATGTTTGTTAGTTTATTTGTTTGTCGGTTTTCTTTTGATTTTGTGGTTGATATATGTGTTTGTTTTCATTTTTGCAGTCATGGTGCATGCTGTGTTGATTCTCTGTTTTTCTGCATTCTTGGGATGAATGTGGTCATTCTTTTTCTTCTTTCTTCTGTGCTTAGTATCTTCTTAATCATCTCTTGTAGAACTGGTCTGGAGGCAGCATAAACTCTTAGGGTTTGAATCTGGGAGGGATTTTAATTCTCCAACACTGATAAAGCTTAGCTTAGCTGGGTAGGAAATTCTTGGTTGGAATTGTTTTTCCTTGAGAACTTTGAAGATTGGACTCAAGTCTCTTCTAGCCTGTATTGTTTCTGTAACTAAGTCTGCTCCTATTCTGACTGGTCTTCTCCAGTAGGTAGTCTGTCCTTTCTCGCTTCCTTTAGGTTTTTTTATTTTATGCTTACTTTGTGTAAGCAAATTACTAAGTGTCTAGGAATTGGTCTCATTTTATGCCTTACAGGGGTTCTCTTAATCTCTTGTGTTTGGATGGTTGCATTCCTGATGAGACATGGGAAGTTTTCTTGAATAACCTCATGGAATGCTTGTTTCAAGGTGACCTCTGTCTCCCTTTTTGCCTCAGGAATGCTGATCAGGCATAAGTTCAGTCTATTGATATAATCACACTTCTCTTGGAGGCTTTGTTCTGTCCTTTTAAACTTCCTTTCTGTGTTTTTAATAGTTTGAGTTAGTTCCATATTTTGGTATTTAAGCTCTGAGATTCTTTCTTCTGCTTCGTTAATTCTGCTTTCCGTGCTTGTCAGTTTGCTATTTATTTTGTTTACTGTATTCTTTATTGCCATCATCTCAGTTACCAAATCTTTCATTCTTCTTGCCTTTCTTCATTTTTGTTTATCCTCTCCATAAATACCTTGATTTCAGTATTTGTGGTTTGAGACCAATTGTTCTGGGGCTCTTCTTCTGGGCATGCACCATGACTGTTTGAGTTCTGAAGTCTGTATTTTCAGGTGCTGTCTTTCCAGGCATCTGAGGGGTACCTATGTTCTTACATTGATTCTTCTTCATTTGTGATGGATCCCCCCCCCTTTTAATTACATTGCTCAGTGATAGGGGGATAGTTTTCACTTCTGTTTGTTCAATCTCCTATTCTTCCTTAGTCAGATTCTTTGGATTTGCTCAAGTTTGAAGTCTGACCCAACTAATCTGCTGCTAGGTCTCCCACTCTAATTACATGCATCTCTGTTGGGGCCAGTGGTGTGTGTGTGTGTGTGTGTGTGTGTCAGGGGGGTGAGGTGTCCATCTATCTGGTATGCACTTAGAGTATCCTCTCTGGGCAAACAATGGTCAATCTCAGAGGAGTGTGGAGATCACTCCTTGGTCTCAAGATGCAGGCTACTCAGAACTGGGTGAGCTAAGGCTGGTCTCTCTTACATCAGCTGAAGGGAAAGTTCATTTTTGACTCAACAAAATAAGATCTTAGATTTTATAGCTTGCAGTAAGTCCCATTCGGCGACAATTAGATACCATGTTTAAACTTCAGTCACCTTCAAAGTATTCTCCATTTGATGCAATATGTCTATCAAGATGCTTTCTTCACTGCTCAGAATGGTTTTTGAACTCTTCCATTTTGATGGCTTTTAGTGCTTCTGCCATTTTTTCCTTTCATTTCTTCCACATCAGCAAAACATTTCCCTTTGAGGACTTGGAAACAGATTCCTCCCAGTGCTGTCCCAGGATCCACCGAGGGTCTCTCCTTAAGGACAGGAACAGTTTGCTCTTGAGCCTCTGCTCAGCCTTGTGAATAGTTCTGTATAAGTCCTATAAGCTTGTCATCATCTGGAGACATTTTTGCCACTTTTCTTTAAATTCCATGTTTTTCTGCAAGAATACGGAAATTGACAACCTTGAAGTCCAGTCTCTTCATAAGCGTTTTTTATCCAATAATGAAATTATTTTCCCTGCTTCTCTTCACATTACGTACTGCTTCATGCTGGGGACTCCCAGGCAGCGCCAACCACTATGGCAATGCAGGCACCCAGTTTTGCTTTTTTTGTCTCTTTTTACCTTGATTCAAGCCCATTCCCACCCTACCTCCCCCACACACTTTGGCCTCTTATGGTTTTTGCAAGTTGACTGCAGGGGTGGGTCTACTGGACTTATTCTGTTAAGTGTTTGAAGTTCAGTTACTATGGTATTATTATTAAGAAGAATTCTTGGTTACGGGTGGGGTGCCCTTTATTCATCTATGTATTTCCTAATTCCTCACTTAGCATATTTACTGAATGCCTTTTAATGACTACACACTGTGCTGTGCCAGATACAAAAATGACAGACATTTTCATTTTCTCAAGAAGTTTGTATTTTATAAGGGAAGACAAACACATAAATAGGTGACTATTATATGAGACAATAGCTGCAACAATGGAAATACATAGCTTATTTGTAGGAGCACGGAAGAGGCCAGACAAGAAGTCCTAAAAACTGTTAGTCCTGAAAGCTGTTATGACTGAAATCCTGTAAGTTACAATGACTGAGCTGATATTTAAGAAATGTAGTAGTGAGCCTGGCACAGGTGTGACAGAGCACCTCTGATAAGAATGTTAGTATGAGCCATGCCACGGGGAGCTGAAAACAGGCTTGCACACCTAGGGAAGGAGGCAAACTGGGTAGAATGTAGACTCTCAACTGGGTCACTTGCTCTGTCATGTGAAGGTTTGTAATTTTGGGCAAGCACCTGCACTTATCTCTGACTCAGTTTCCTCATCTGTAAAAATTGAGATAATTATAAGATCTCCTAGCAGGGATTCTGTAAAGATTGTGAGACTTGATATATGTAAAGTGCTAGCATGGGGCTTGACAATAGTAAATGCTTTGTAAGTTTTCTTCTGCTTGATTTTGAAGTGGAAAACAAGCAGGATAGGTGAGAAACCAGGCAGAATACAGTAGAAAGATAACAGTATCTCATGGTAATGTGCTTGGACTTTATACTGTGTAACTAGGGAGGATTTTGAAAGACTTTAAGAAGTGGAAAAACATGACCAGATTTATTTTTTTCAACACTCTGGAGACTGTAGAGACTAGGAAAGTCTTCGGGGAGCTGGGATGCTAGGGAGATGTAATATGAAAATGAACTAAGATGTGTTAGAATGTGTTGGAGGGAAAGTCTGATTACACCAATGAGTGGACATTGAAGTGAGGTGGAGGAAGGAGGATGAAGCTAGAGGCAAAGAGTGCAAAGTGTGCAGTTCTGGTGACTCGGTGGCTGACTGTTCTAGCAACTGGCATAGACATTCGTTAAGAAGGAGCAGGTGCAGAGGGGATTTTTCATATGTAGGGCCTGAGGTTCCTGATGAAAAAGTTCAGCAAGGGTTTCATGTGTGATACTTGAAGGAGACGTCAGGATGGATATAGTTTTAGGAACCATCAGCATGGTGATGTTGAGATAATGGGAAGTAATTAAATCCCTCACTGATGGAGAACAGAGTTTTGGAATGACACCTTTGGTTACAGGGAAAGCTAAGAAAGAGGTCCTCAGAATGAAGACAAAGAAGATAGAGGAGCTCCTAGGAGAACTGGAAAGAGAACATGTTTATATTTTGCCTCCAGATATGAATTCCTCACCTATAGATGCCACACTTGTGTCTAACAAGTGTTCTTAGGCTCCACTTCACGTTGCCCCAAGCATGAGTCTTAGGTTGCTTGGTGTTCTAAAGCTCCACCTAGTCACAAACTAAGATAAAAATAACTAGTTACATGTTTTTTTCAGGTTAGGTGAACTAAACTTGCCCCACAGTCACTGTTTCCTGAGCCACTCAGTAATGCCAGTGTTTTTCCTAAGCATGCTGTTGTGAGTCTATTTATTCAGTTCCTGGGATCATTTGGGCAACCATTCCAAAGAAAACCAAGATATATCATCTCTCTCTGTGACATTTCTATTTATTTCTGTTTGGTTTTACGTGAGGTTTATTGCCACATTGAAGGGGTCCAGCCCCACAAGGGTCGTGAGCTTTCCTGAAGGAGAGACGGATAAACTAAACATAATGCATACAAGGTTTACTTTGATTTCGGTTCCACATCACTTGTCTAATTAAAAAAGCCTTAAAATCACTAAAACAAAACTATAGATTGTACCTAGTGATAGTAGGAATATGAAGCCCATTAACTTGAC